TTTAACAGACTCGGTACACTTAAACTTTCAGTTTTCACTTGAGAACTTTTGTGCGATATGATATCCCTTCCAGTGTTAGAATACAGGACGCTCTCCTGTTTCACTTATGAGTAACAAGCAGAATGAGACGCGTTTGGCAAACTGATGCAAAATATTTATTCCAAGTTTTTTTCTTTTCTGATGCAGTAGTTTTTTTCTACTTCTCATACAGATGATTCCATACATGAAACCCTTTTTTATCTTTTCAAATCTGTAAATAATGTTATCAAAATAATCTTAATCTTCGAAAACTCACAAAATTTTTTTATATTTTACAATCCACCCTGAATATCAAGGCTGCAGGAACAGAACAAAAAATGCAAAAACAAAGCCTATTTCTGTGGAAACTTTACAGCTGTACCAAAATAAAGTAAAATGTAAGGTAAGTGACAAAGCCTTTTATACCCTTCCAACAACAAAAAATAAATCTGGTTATTAGCATTATTTAAAATAATGTAGTCCCTCATTATAAATGGATGTACAAACTGGGATGAGTGAGTCTCCACTGCAGAAATGGTTTACATCTCTGAGAATTTTAAATATCATAATTTTAAAGAAGCAACAGCTTGCACAAGTGCAAAACAAGGTGTCAGTGTAGGCCTGTAAATATAGTTGAAAGTCCTCTGTGGATGTTTACCTCCCTGATGATCTGAAATGAAAGAATCCAAAACTGTCAGAATCGCCTATTAAAAATTTGACAACTTTGATTCTCAGATTCAGTTCTACAATGGTCCTTGCCATGCAATCTATTGCTATGCTGCTACCTTGCCTTTGGTTTCAAGTTGAGCTATGATCCTATTACATCAAATACATTAATTACTTTAAAGTACATTCCCCTTGTCATGAAAACTGTCAATTTCACTGGTTCCTTTCATATAATATGTATAATATTTGTCATCAGAAGGATGAGTATACATTTTCTCACTGGTTATTAATTCTGCCCTTTATGGTTACCTAAGCAAATAACTTGGCCTCATCCTGGCTATCTGCTTATTTTCTAGTCTAAACCACTCTTAGCTTTACAGTCAAGGTCTGTTTAATTTTTTTTTATATGTCCTCAACACATCTGGAGAACAGATTCAGGTATAATCTGATTAGTGAGAGTGAGACAAGACTATCACGGGCCTGTGAAGAAAACAGTGAGGCACTGGCTGTTGTACTGAAAGACAGAAACAGTGTGCTGTTAGATGTGGATTAAAATGAAACTGACGAGAATATCTGGTGTAAATGACAAATCAGCATGAAGGAGTCACACATGTGACACTTGAGAAATATGGGGTCAGATTTTATCTCCCTTACAGGCTTTCAAATAGTGATTGTTTCTCTCAATAGCTGCCACACTGTACAGTACTTGCCAGATCTTTCTTTTTTTAATACTCTACCACAGACAAACATCCCAGCTGCACAAATTGAACCACCGCATTTTTAATGAGGGACTTAGAATAACGTCAATATTCATTACTGATGATTGCCTCATCACACTGCTAACACTACGGATTGTTGCAAAAAGATGTGTCAAAGCCAGTTTTGTTACATCTCAGTTTGTCAGGAACTCAAGTCATTCAATTCTTTGATTTTTAATTCAATTAGTCATTCTTGTTTTTAGCAGAATCTAATGTGCATTGCCCTTCTTCTGTTTGCTTGTATTTAGGTCTGTGAAGCAGGAAAAAATGGGGCTACAAAGAGAGGTACAAAAAAAAGCTATACAAGCCAGAATGTTATCGTTCAGTGGGATATGATTGGTTTCCCTTGTGCATGGAAAAAAATTAAAACCATGTATTAAAAAAAATGAAATCTTTTAAAGCCACATTAGGTATCATCATCATCGGAGGTCTGGCTACTGCTCGTTTCGGACTCCGAGCCCTCGTCAAGCCCCACATCCAAAGTGCTTCTCCAGGGAGCAAACTGCAGGGCCACACCGCGGGGCTTCAGTAGAACACCATTCTTCCCAAGGCCATTCTTCTTTAGCTATAGGTCACCCAACAGAGGAAGATGTAAGGTGTAACGCAGCATTTTTCTACTATGGATTTATTATGGTTATGAACAAGATATCCCCAAATCTGTTGTGCGCTGTTAACATACTAACAGTCAGTTACTCGTCTTTTTTCTAAAACCTGCTCACGTTAGAACTTTATATGACCCATGTTCTTCTGTTCTCAAAACCTTACCACCTCAGGATTGAAGTACACTAAAGTATCACCTTCGTTAGGCCTTAATCATTTAATTTTTCATTCATATTAAGTCTTTTTGTTTAGTTATTTTTCCAAAGAGGCTTTCACTCACCTGCTCCGTTTTAGCCTGAAATTCTTTCAGCTCATCCTCAGTTAAGGGCTGGAAGTTGTCATCATTCTCTGGGTACTCCTGCCAACCCATAGACTTCAATAACCTAACAGGAAACAGAAGGCAAAGAAGAATGCTTAATCTCAGTTCTAAAATTACAAAGCTGACAACCCCCACATTTCTGGCCTAAATCGTAATGGCCTTTTAAAGCTTTTGCCTCTTCGAAATGTAAAACTTTTACACTATTAAATTTAATAACATGAATTTAATTGCATGCATAAATCCAATACAATCAATATTGAGTCTGTCTTACATATTTAATTTAAAACAATATCAGAGCCCTTAGAGGTGCTATATGCACTGGAACTTATCCCAGTTTCTACAGCATTAAGTGAAGGCAGTGGATGTGACTCAAGTCTGTGTGACTAAACCCCAGATATGCTGGTCCCTATTTGTTTTGCTCAAGGGTACAAAAGTAGAGTCTGCAACAGGGGACTCCAACCCACAGGCTACCAGCTTTGTTTTCATTACTTTAACCAGTACTCCACAGCCCACACACATTTTACACCTCTCCCTCTGTACAACCATTTAAGGGACACATGGGCTTAACCTGCGGAAATGTGAGGGAAGCAATATGAAGACTGTCATTATAAAAAAATTAAAAAATTCATGTTTGCCATGAATCTTAATGTTTTAACTTCAGTTTCTACAGTATCAATCCAGGATTTGCTAAACAGCCTTTTTCCAAAGCAGCCCTAACAAGAACATTAATAAGCACTACACATTTTTTCTCCATTCTTTAACAATATTCTATTTTTGTGAAAATCCAAACAGAACTGCTGCACTATGAACATGAGGATTACCTGGACACAGTGCAAGCAGAGCAGCAAGAAAGTCAATAGCTCATCATTTCTGACTTACTTGTTGAACGTACATTCCTTTTTAAAAAAAAACTGGCATCAGTGACTGCAATGTGTTTTGGCATTACAAAAACAAGCCTTGTTACAATTTAATTCCAAGTGTTTCTAGGTATTTATTTTGTATCTTCATATATCTAATCTATATATTTTAGAATATCTCAATTTTTTCCATTGGTTTTTCCTTTAACGTGTTTCCCATTTTGTGTACATGTTTACAATGTCTTGTTTTTTTTAATTTTCTTAGGAAGCTGGTGAATCGCAGACCAGTGAGTAGCCATGAACCGTTTTGTATGGTAAACAGTGCCGGATCTTCTTTATGAACTAATATGCAAAGTTACCTTAATAAGAGATCAATAACATGGAATCACTATACTACACAAACATGAAATCATACTTAAAACAAATAATAGATAACATCATGGATTGTTCTCCTACAACACAGGATAAAAGAAGCCTCATGCTTGAATGCATGTGTTTGTGAGAGAGCTACAGGATGTTACCTGTGCTCTGCTTCCAGGGAGCTGGACAGATGGTCAGTGTCCGAATCACTGAAGGATAAAGTGATGCCGTTCTCATGGCAGTGTCCCTCACTGTCCTCTTCCTTGGGTTCAGGTGTGCTACTCTCACCCTGGAAAGAAGATCAAAACTGTGGTGACCTGGAAGGGCTTTGGCCATGGATTTCAGTATGAGTTAAGTGGTACCCCAGGAAAGCATCCTAAAGTCAGTATTAACAGCCTGTCCAGCATGGAACATAACAAGGGCCTGACTATCAATTCAAGTCTTTCCTCTGCCTAATTTCAGGGTGAAAGCTAAGTCTAGTGTCACGGTTAGGATTATGGGTATGACTACAATTAGGTTTAGAGATATGGATAAGCTTTAATTCCAAATTAGAACATAGAAACCAAGGACTTGGGGCTTTCACACAGATTCTCTGCACTTTACCTCTCCAGGTGCTCCAGGGCTGTGACAGGTGGGCAGCTCTCCATTCCTCTCGTCCTTCAACGTCCGTAGGAACTCACTCTTGCGGTCAGTACCACGTCGCATCAGCTTGAGTCGCGAAGAAGTGATGTCAATAGGTGGGGTGGTGCTAGAGGGCATCTGGGGGCAGGAGGGAGGACCCATAAACATGACTGGACTAAGTGTGATGTTTCTAAAGGCATTTTGCAACCTTTTAACCACTAAAATTTATACAGCAGGGCATATTAAAAATACTACCACAAAGGCTAACTGCTGGCAGATTGGTAAATAGTGAGGATCATAGACATATCCTACAAAAAATTTGCCATTTATATCTGATGATCCATGGTGTAACAACGGGCACCTAATGACATTTTTCTGGACTAAGATGGTGAACAGAATCCTTTGTGGAACGACTGCAGAAAAACCACAACTCCAGCCTGCTAGGTCATTAGGTATATACCTTTTCCTTCACTCCAGGCCAAAATGGAGGAGCGCCCTGCAACATCTGTGCCCCCACAGAACTCTCTAGTGTTTGGGTTACGTAAAGGGTATACAGTTCTGCCTGGCCCTGTCACTCGTGAGCTCAGAGCAGACATGGTGCCACTCCCAAGACAACAGTGAACTCAGCTACGTCAAAGGGCCGGGCTCTGAGTTTCAAGGGGGTGAGGGCATCTTCTGTAACAGGCTCAGTACCATGGACCCTCATTGCAGAAATCCATGCTTTGAGTCAGTTCACCTGAATTTAGATGGAACATTTGTAATGTACTGGGCAAAAAGAAAGAGCAGCAGGATGGAGGTCTGAGTACCTGGGTTAAGTGAAGCAGAACAAACAGGGAAATTAGAGAATTCACTGAAGGTGAAGTGGTATAAGTAAATTGGGGATGGAAGAAGATAATGGTTCTCTCTTTTTTGAAGCTCATTATGACAATTTAAAGTGTTTTTTTAGTCACCGAGCAGGTTTATTCTAATGTATATGAATGATGTGCAGAAGAGTGAAACTGGCACTGTGTTGGTGGATCCTCAGTTCTGTATGATAAGGGTGCTTCTCCTCCACTGGTGTTTTGCTTTGCATCAGCTACTTCTCTATGGCTCACGGCTCAGTTTTCATCTGACCGATAAAGTCAGCAGCAGGTAACATAGCCTCTGGTGGATTGCTTCACTTAAAAGTTTAAAATAAATGGAGTAATCCAGTTTCAGTTCAGTGAGGTATCAAAATCGAATCACTACTCCACAGATTTCAATGAAACAGTCACAAGTCAAACATCAAACACAAAAGTATCAATCTTGAGAGCAGGATCAATTACTGTTTATCTTAGATTAATAACTTTTCAGATAAAAGTAACTGCTGCAGCTACTACAAAATTTAAGAGTATCTGAAAGATTAAAATGCTGAGAATTCAATAGTCTTTGCAGGTACCATCTAGCAGCACAGGTCTGGCTATACTCTTCCAACACACCAGTCCAGCAATGGCACAAAAAAAATGGCTGAGGTAGTAAAAAGAAGGTCTTAAACACCATCAGATATCATTCGAAAACAGGGGAATACCATGCTCTTCTCCTGTTCCCCCTTATTCAATTACAATTCCTCCCTTGGCTGATACTGCCCTACCTCCTTGGGAGCTGGGTGAGGGGTGCTGCTGACCGGAGTCATGGGTTTGGTTACAGAGACAGGGCTGGTGAAGGCAGAGTCCCGGCCGGGGAAATGCGAACCCGGTTTAGTTTCCCTTCCATTGGGTTTCCATGGACCTGTCTGTGACAAAAGGAGAGGAAAAAGAGGAAATCAACTGACACATAGCAACCAGGATCGCGTGCCCCGAGTCTCTTGGAGGTCTTGAGCAACAGCGGATTTCAATGTATGACTTCCTGGCGTATTTCTGATACAGAGACATTTAGGAAAAACAAACAGGGGTTTCAAGCAGAAAGGACTTCTACCTTAGCAGGGGCTGCAGCTGGCTTGGGTACCAGGTTCTTGTAAACGCTGGGTCCAGTGATGGGAACTTTGTTGCCATTGGCAGGGAGGGGTCCTGTGGTTGCAAACCCTGCAGAGAAAGCAGCACAGGGGTCTTCTTTTGAAACCTTCTTGATGACCAGCATCTTGGAAACTGTCTGCTTGGCACTAGGGGGGTTCTCTGGAAAGAGCAAAAAAGACACTGGACATTCACTCCATATACAAAACAATATACAGGACTCAACTGGCAAAAGCATCATGGTACTGGTTGGTACGGTACTAGTTGGTACTACAACTGATGCGGTAGCACTGAATTTTCAGAGTCACAGACATATAAATCAATTCATGGCTCAAGCACACTGGTTCATCAACTACAACTGAATGATGTACAGCAGGCTGGAGGTTGCAGGCTCAAATCCCAGTTATGCCACTTCCTAACAGAACAGTGGTTTAGCAGAAATACAAGTGCTCAATGATAAGATGGTTTAATCTTGGTTTAACAAGAGGATTATACATAACTATATTATAATAAATAGCTTTATTTCTGCAAGTATAGGAGCAACTCAGCACTCACCCCATACTCCTGCTGGAGCTCCCATTGCCCGCATCTGACTTGCTGACTTTCCAGTTGCTTCTGGATTAAGAGAGGGCTGTTAAAGATAAATTATAGAAATGAGCAAAAATAAACATTAAAGAAACAATGTCAAATTGTTTTTTGAAAGAAACTTTCTTCCTGCGCATCACAACACATTTTTGGCATACTGTCACTTTCTGTTAGTTGTGTGGCTTGTGGCACCTAGTGGTCATACACAGAACTGCATCCATTCAGACATCATGAGCACAACAGTACCACACTAGTCTAAAGGGCCTGAGTCCCCAGTCCGGGTTGGGAAGGTCTACCGTGTCTACACAGCAACTGCACAAGAAGAGCTGGGAGAAACTGGTCCAATTAAGCCAGTAAGCAGCTGTTTCAGCTGAAACTAAAAACTGTAGACCTGCAGGCTCCCCAGATCCAGGACTAGGGAGCCCTGGCCTAAAGGTTTGATTTGCTAGGAAAGAGATAAAAGTCAAATCACTCAATAGGTCAAAGACTTGCACCATCGTCCGCCATGTCCTCCCTCTTCTACAGCGCAAGCATCATTAAAAGCCCAGCCACTCCCCTCACACAAGGGCAAATTCGGGATGAAGGATGGCACTCACAAAATCTTCTTCCACAAACTTCAGCTTCTCCTCCTTGCTGTCCTTGCGCTCGTCCCGGGCGTCGGCAGGGATCTTGTCCTGGAAGGCAGGGCCCTTGCGGGGGTGGAAGTTGCCATTGCGCTGCCGGTGGCCCCCTGCCCTGTCCCGGTCGCCCCCCCGTTTCTGGTGGCGGTTGTGATGGTGCTGGTGGGGGTGAGACGTCACGACCTCCTGCCCTCGCGGCGTGCCGTGCCAGCTGGATGCCTCCTTCCAGCCTTGCCCGCCGACCAGCCCACTGTGGCCGCCCTTCGACACGCCCAAGTCCACGGAATCATGACGGAGCAGAGACGGCTGCTGCCAGCCATCGCCTTAGACAGACGTGAAGGAATGACATTTCAAGACATCGGTTCAAGTGGGGAGCTGTGTCAGTGAGTGTAGGCTAGTAAGGAACAAGTAAAGGTTTATTCCAGGCTGCAAAGTAGACCACCATTTTGGCTGTTAAGACCTCTGTAGGGATAGTGGTTTTTGAGGCAGTGGCAGTGTTAGGTTTGTGCCACACAAAGTTTGCCCAAAAAACTCTATCTTGGTTCCATCTGACCACAAAACGCCTTCTGAAATTTTAGATTTTAGATTACTCTCATGCTGTCTGGCAAACTCCAGATGGGCTTTGACAGGGTTCTTATTTGACTGATGCACCTTTACTCCACTCTCAGCCACTGAACTTTCACAAGGTCTTTCAAAGTGAGTGTTGGCCTCACGGTGACTCCAGACAAGCAGGAGGTTTGTGAGGGAATTCTGAGTTCTGAGAAACGGTCTTTTCTAGGCATTGTCTGGGTCGTATGATGCAGCTTCCACTTATTATTGAGCCAACAGTGCTCACTTTGATTTTTTGTATCCTAATTTCCTAACCTATGTATTTTTATCACTTTATTTCTAGAATGCTCTTTTTAATTTTTGTACCTTCCCTCCGGATTCACTGCCTCAATGATCCCTAAACAGACTGGGGTTTTAATCCAGTAAATGTGACAGGCACTTCAATGGTACACAGGCAGAAGCCAATGGTAGGGTTATTATATCCTCGTTAGGGCAATTTCTTTCACCTGTGTAAACGTAGTGCTGCCAGAGCAAAGGGGTCTGAATACTTATGCAAGCAATATACTTCTGTATAAGGTATCTGCTGACTAAGTTTGTAATAAAAATACTGATTGGAAAAAGATATGCAACTATCATTTGCAATCCAGCAACATTTGAAAACTTTTAAAGGGCCTGAACACTTTGGCAAGTCGCTGTATTTAATAATTTCACCCCACCCCCAAATAGTGAAGTGTTGTTACTTTTTAAGAAACAATAGGCAGAAGAGCACACACTGTAACTGTAGGTTAGTGTGGGGAGTCAGCCCCCAACACGCTGTCACAGCTGGTGAAGGGGGAGCAGGCCGAGCAGGAGAGCTGTACCTGCAGGGGCCCGAAGGGGCCCGTTGTTGAAGAAGCCATCAGAGGAGTTGTGACGGCGGCGGCTCACTGCCGGCCTCCCATCTCCACGGGGAAAGTGCTCTCCATGTTTCTCAAAGGTGGCTGAAGGGTACTGCAATGGCGATGGAAGAATATGGGAGAGGGAATGAGATCCTCCAACAAGTGACAGGCTGCTAAACACTTGTTCCCAGCTAGGACTCAAACTCTCAGCCCTCCTGCACTCTGAGCAGACACTACAAGCCTGCTACAGGGGAAACCAGCCAATATTTTATAGTCCAGGTGGGTAGCTGCGTCAGCATGCGTAGGCTGCAAAGGAACAAGTAATAGGTTTATTCCATGCTGAAGAAAAGAAGAAAGAGAACACAACGTTTCGGCCGTGGAGCCTTCTTCAGGTGTGAGAGAGACAGGGCAGTAGGCAAAGGTAAAGTAGCGGGAGAACAAAGGTTGGGAGGGAGAATATTTTATAGTCATTGTCCGTAGAAATGTACAATACGCAATTAGAGGATATTGATCTGCTAACTAACTGATCAACCTTAACTGTAACTGTTGCTCGTGCAATAAGAGAAACAAAGCTTAGTAGCTTAATAGCTTTGTTTCAGACTGAAAATAAATGGCATTTTCCTGATATCTGAATTTAATAAGAATTTAATAATTACTTACACTTAAATAGCACTTTTCTGGACAATCCACTCAAAGCGCTTTACAGGTAATGGGGACACCCCTACACCACCACCAATGTGCAGCATCCACCTGGATGATGCAACGGCAGCCATAGTGCGCCAGAAAGCTCACCACACATCAGCTATCAGTGGGGAGGAGAGCAGAGTAATGAAGCCAATTCATAGAGGGGGATTATTAGGAGGCCATGATTGGTAAAGGGAAATTTGGCCAGGACGCCGGGGTCACACCCCTACTCTTTTCGAGAAACGCCATGGGATTTTTAATGACCACAGAGAGTCAGGACCTCGGTTTTACGTCTCATCCGAAGGACGGATTTTGTTCCAGTTTTAAGTGGTAAGGTTTTTTTATGCTCATTACATATTTTCATATCAACCCACAAAAATGATTTCCTATAGCAGAAGTGTCGAAACCACCCTCCTGAGCAGATAAAGTGTTAAGATCATGAAAACAGACTGTAGCAGATACCAAGCATCAACAAATGACACACTTTGACTACACAACATTTTAATTCCACAGCTTAATCATGGAAAACAACTAAGTGAGAAGAAAAATAACCTTACATAGTGAGTTGTTAATATATATTACTTCAAAAGTGTTCGGTTTGATACTTTTTTTCATTTGCATTAAGCAGCTATACAAAATATACCACTAATGTCACAAATGCTACTGATTATTTAGCATCTTAAAATTTGCTATTCGATAAGAGTGCCTGTGCTTTATATTGCAACAGTTTCAAATCTTGTTACAAGACACAGGAGATGGAAATATTCAGAATATCATTTTGCTACAATACTTGATTCTCAAGAGCACTGTACTATTTCTCCCAGCCTGCAATATTGTGAAAGGAACAATGAACATAAGCAACTGCTGCCTTTGAAGACTCCAATTTAATTTATTTTACTTTTCAGTACTACAAAGCGCACCTGGGGTCATTGAAACGGATGCACTACTGGCCGTCCCATTCATGTTCGTTTGAAGATTCAAAGCAACAGATCCCATATCTCACTTCTGGGTTTTAAGATTTTAGAGTAGAGGTTTCTAATCCTGGTACTGGAGGGTCTGAGTCTCTTTAAAACTGCTACACCTGAAGAGCTGTTACATTCACTCAGTTAAGCTAGTAACCATGTGTTTTAACTTGCCAAGAACTGTTGGAATGAAACCCTGCAACACACCAGTCCTCCAGAACCAAAACTGCCAAGTTTAACATGAATTAATGAATATCCACTGCGAGGTTAACCTAACTTGGAATAAGAACTGTGATTAAAACAAAGCTGTTAAATAAAGACCTAACTTATTCCTGCTATTTCTAGGATAGAATCCGGAACAGTTCACTGTAAACAGGCATTGAGTGAGGGCAGACCATCTGCCTGTTTGGCAGTCACCTGAAATGCCCCTACTTAGAGCACAAGCCCTGCACTGAGTGTAAATAATTTAGGTTTATAGCAAGGGTGCTAAGTCTCCTCTTAACTGATACACAAAGGGAAGTTTAGTTTCTGGAAGTTTAAAAACTGTGAGAAAAACAAAGAACCAACTTGAAAACTGGCAATGCACAAGACAAAACAACTAAATATACAGTTATAATATAGTGTACCTCCTTCATGTGAGACATTAGGAATATAAAATAAGACAGAAAAAAACTGCCTATCTCTATATGATCTTAAAGATTGTACCATCTTTTATGTAATTTAGCATATTTGTTTGTTCAGCATCCTTGCCATTTTAATTGAGATGTGACATATTAAACCATGTTTAATGTTGAGAATAAATGGATATCACCTCCAATTACAATTTAAGGATCCTGAGAGAAACATTTAATTGCAGGGTGACATTCCCCGTCATTCGTTCTCAATTACCATTAAGATGTGTGCTTCCCGCACCTTCACTCATAGCTTCAAACTCTATAACCGCACACAAGACAGAACGAGGAAGTGTACACAGACTCCTTCTACCTGCCCACCTTCAACACATCATAAGCAACACGGCCCTGTATCCGAGGTTTAGTGCCCAATGGGGGAGAAACAGATTTCTCACCACTGCACCGCCAGCCTTTAAGTGCCTGCGAATCTACAGGCGTTGCTCTGTTGCCAGGATCTGAAAGAAGCCTAATTGGCTAAGCCCACTCTAACTTTAGCAGTGCTCAGCCATTTTCACACAACTGCCTGTAGAATCAAAGTCACAGTCGGATAGTAACGTGACCCAGACTCAACATCACGACCTGGATCATCAAGCTCCACCTGCTTTCCAGAACCTGCACTGCCTGAGCCAATCGAGAGTCCCAAATCAGGCATTCTTTGCCTAAAACAAAGACTTTTCCATTGCAGGAATTCCTAGTTTCACCCCATTGCTGCAAGCAGGTTCTAACTACACTCAAGCGTCCAGCAGTGTTCTAACTGTCAGGCGGCTAGGTCCAAGGTCATCGCAGTGTAGTGTGTGCTTCTCACCTTGGCGGGCTGAGGCGTCGAGAAGTTAAGCCAGGCAGGAACAAAGTCATGCTGCGCCATTTAGGTCCAGTGTCTCCAGTCAGTGGAACGAGGCATCAAACCTCATGGCCAGGATCTGAACGGAGGGAGTGGGATAGAGAGGGATAAACACAATGTCATTGTGCTGCGGGAAGGATGGGAGGCATCCAGGGGTTCTTTCAAGATCAAAATCCAGTCTTATACTGTCCCAGGCAGCTATGGGTCCTGGATTTGCATCCATTCACAATAAAAGCCACAGGTTCCTCCCCACATGACTGGATCTGATCATATGTAGAACATTTCAGACACAAAAGACATCAGTTCCTTAAGGAAATTAAGACTACATGCTGGAATACAAATGCTAGTATCCAATAGTAACTATTATTATTCCTGTTTGAATTCAAATATTTTTAAGCTTTAAGCTTTTATGTGTATTTTTGTAGACCACAGAACAGACAGTTTTAGCAGAGGGTCGATTTTAGCAGACAAAACAACGTGCACCAATTTTGCAGCTGATGAATCTTAACCATATCAGAGTTAGCAGCAGAAGTGGGTCAGTATTAAATGCCACAAATTTACATTTTGCAGATTGGCTCCCCATGGGAATGGCAGTGAACAGATTTAGAGAGTGAACTGGGGGAGGGTTAGACTAAGAGACAGATAGGAAAAGAAGACTAAATAAATGTCATGCCGGTGGAACAAATTCTTGGTAGGGTCTATGCCGGTGAGAGTTTTGTATCAACAAGTTACCAGCTATGGAACAAGCACATAAGGGGTTAAAAACAGCCGAGATCATTTAATAAATGATAGGAGAAATTCCTGTCTTACCCAGAGTCGTGGGCTCTGAAGTCCAGCACCCCTCTCTCCCTTCGTCTCAATGTTGTACAGAAGGAGAACTCCTGGGCGTTGTATATCAAAGAGATCTGGTCCAGTTGCAACAGTGTGCACTGCACCCTCAGGACAACACAGCCCTTTGGTGGTGCAGGTAATGTCTTCCAGGATGATGTACTTTGGTAATGATGCAAAAAAGACTATTTGGGATCACTCTGCCAGTTTAATTTCTAGCATCAATCCCCTTGTGGTGTCGACGGTCTCAGGGGGTAAAGAACTATGCTGATCTTTAACGGTGATCCAGATGAGTTTTGATTCACTGCTGCTCTACTAGGATGATGTCAGTTTTTGTAAAAAAAATTTAAGAAAAACATCCAAGGTGATCTGCCCAGGTGTTGATGAGAAGTAGATTTCCCAGGCAAACCTACCCAGATGAACCCCTGCAAGAACCTAGTTTACAAAACGGTCTGAACTGCTTAATGGTATTGTACCCAGTTAGTAATGCAGAACAAACCGTTCTAATATTGTAGCCAGTGTATGGTAGAGGATTAGCTCTCAGGGTAGCCTCTCTTCAACCTGAAGCACTGGAAGCAGCACTGTGTGCCAGCTCTAACACTGTACTACTCCCTTACCAACTCATCTTACTCTCTGCCAACACACATGCACAGAAAAAATATGGGGAAACAATTAACTGCGGTACAGAAAATCCTAAAAATCGCTGTTCACCTCATTAAACTAGCTTTGCAGTCACTACAGGGAGAAAAGGGGGAGCTACTTTCATATTCACATTACAATACTTGAACTAACTTGTAATTACAGCTGTTTCATTTTCGCTTTCCACTCAATGAGAATGACTATTTCAAAAGGAAAAAAAGTAATCTTTCTTAACACATTCTAAAAGCAATGGGGTTGCGAAGTGATTTTTATGGCTAAGCTTTCAACAGTTCGCACATTACATACACTCCTCAAAGTGGAGCCTGATCACAGAAAACTATAAGGCCACAATTTTTAGGCAAACAAAGAGGCTGCCATTTGTTTTCAGAAGCGGCAAAACACCAAGTTGCAAGCAGATTTTCCAGTGCATTAAAAAATACAGGGTTCTTCACTTTCCCCTGGAAGGGCAAGATAAGCATTAAATAAGGAAAATACTAACATCTATAAGAACTCTTTACACCTGCTTAAAGAGTAGTTTAAGGGCAGAAAGGTAATGTGTACAATGTCTTTTTTAAATGTTGTTTAATGCAGACTATAGACCACTATGTAACAGCTCAAAATTCAACTGGGGTATTTTCTTCTGTCTCTATTGACTTCTTGTCTGGTAGTGCTGTCCTCGCGCTGGCTTCTCCCAAAGCAATCTATGGAAATAAAAACAGAAAGAGGTTAAAACAAATCAGGCCCTAATTCCCTTAGATCAGCCTGTGCACGACACAGAACTAGAGATCTAATGCTAGCTGTAGCCTAGATTTTTCGGGTCATGAGGCCATGCCTTTCCTTCCTTAGCACTGGATACGATACTCTTGCTCTTCTATCGGCTTGTTAGGAAATGTGGAAACAATCCAACTGGCTTCTCTGGGTTCTGCCTGATAAAGGGATTTGAAACCGACAGAGCTACTTCTCTCCGTGAAAGTCAAAGTTTCAAAGGCCATTCAATTCAGTTCCTTAAATTTCTAGCAACTTAGTCAACTTAAAAATTGTGCAATAACCCGAGTTAGTATATTGATCATTAGACAAGCCCCCCAGCATGGCTAACAGCCCTGGGCTTTTTTCTGAACAAGGTGGCCACAGTAATGCAAGTCTAGGCATTACGTACAGTTTTGGCTCTTGACAAAAGACTGGGAAGAACTGCTGTAATGGGGAAGTTTGGAGAGGACCAGTGATGCAAAATTATACCCAAATTCCCCAGTAGGTCACTGAAAAGCACCTTGGTAGCTCACAGCAGCAGGAAACCCCCAGAATGTCATTCACTTGTAGCACGCCAACATTACACACCTAACGTCAAGGTTCTGAAACTGCTGCTCTCAAAGAATTCCAGCATGGAATAATAAATAATTTTCCTTTTAAACACATCACTGCATGCAGTACTTTCTGGAAAACAACCTAGGCACTTGTTTGATTTGTGTTAGGTATTCTACATGGTGTGAACCACAATGTCATGACAGGACTATGAATCCAGCCTGCACTGTGCTTCTTGCACAAATAATCAATGACAGCCACAAATGTGAAGTGGACAGAAGGACCAGAGCTGTCTACTAAGATGTACTTTCACAGCTTTGTAACAGACATCACCCTGGGAACAGGCTGTTATTTGAATGCTTTATTTTTACATTTTCAAAGACAACACTTAATACTAATGCTGTGCACAATTTGTGCTCTTATCCACGAATTTCTCTCTGTACTGCATCCCACTCCGCAGAAAACGGACCAGGCATTATACATCCACTTTAGCTTATCACATGCTTGTACTTTATCTGGTCTTTTTCTTTGGAATCACAGCAAGATTTAAAATAATATGCAATAGTCGTCACACCAACAGAGATGTTATTTCTTTGGACATTAAAACTTCTATCTGGAATTAAAAGTTAAGAGGAAAACCTCTATACTTCACTAAATTTCTCTTTGTCCCATAATAATTGGTATGGTTTGATATAAAAGCATAAATGTGCTCTCCGGGAGACTTAAAAAATGTAATAGTGAACAACTTCATATAAAGCAAGTGCTAAAGGTGTGCAACGAGTCACACAAACCCTTCACATTACTCTCTGCATCTTACAAGCCACTTTACAAAGAATACTGCTTTGGTTTTCACAGTTTACCTACCAAAAGGTCTAAATAGTAACTTATTTATAAAGATCTTTCCAAACCCAAGTATACTGTACATAGTGATAAATAAAGATAAAGACAAAAAATACAATAAATAGTAAAAGAAAAACAATACAAAACATACAGGATCAACCATAGGCCGTAGTAAAAAGGTGAGTTTTAAGTTTAGATTTGAAGAGTAAAATAATTAGTCTTTCGAAAAGTTGGAGGATGGCCACTCTTTAACAAAGGACCAGTGACAGGAAAGCATTGTCACCAAACGTCCAATATTTAGTCATAAATACAGTGAGCAAAGGACCAGGTTCAGCTGAACAGAAGGGAGTGTAAACATGAAGGAGTTCAGAGATGTATGATAGGGCCAGATTTTTAAAATCTTAAAAGTCAGAAACAAAATCTTACATTGAACATATGCTGTGATATGCTGCCAAGATCTGGTGTGGGTTACAAGTTAGAAGTCTACCTGCAGAGTTCTGGATATATTGCAACTTACTGAGAAGAATTTTAAGGGTCCCATAGAGCAAAAGTTGCAGAAATAAAGCCTTGATGTTGCTGAGTGCTTGATTCACATATAAAACATTGATAAAAACTGCCTGATGAGGGCAATATTTCTAAGGTAAAAAAAGGAAGCCTTAATCAAATTTTTCACATGAGGCTCAAAGACAGGAGAGGATCAAGTGTGATTTCCCAGATTCCCGACTACAGCTGACATCCGAATGGGGAAGCCATCCAAGATTACTGCCAAGCTCTCCAGCTTTTTCAGCTGAAATTTGCTGGTCATCAGTAAAATGTCTGTTTCAATTCAGATTAAGGAAAATGGACTGCTGGTCATACTTTTACAGTTGCATACTAATCTATTACCACTAGCCAATCAATTCAAACTATTTCCAATACACTCAGTTTGCTTTGATCTTGCAACTTCTTATAACTGGGTGCTTTGTACCTTTGTGATCCCAAATCTACATGTATTAAAATCACACCTAAAGGGCTGACCCCTTTAAGAAAAATGTATTTGTTTGTCTGTTTACACATACATTTACAAAATCTACTACAATACAAGAACAAGGCACAGTTTAAAAAAAGATAATAGTTAGTATAGGGTATAACCAATAAGCAACACAATATTCGGTGATAATACCCCTAACTTTGTTTTGCGAGTCTAAGACAATACTGATTAGTACACCACCTTATAAATGGGTAGTCTGACGATCTTTCCTTTATTTTGGAAACAAAGGGGCTTTGTGATTAGAAATAATACATCAGACAGCCTCCAAGAGGTGATTCCCAGTAAGCATGATAACCACAGAACTGAGACACTACTAAACGACATCTTCTGCCTCCACTGTGTTTAAAGAAAGTAATTTCCAAAAAGTGCATGAGGTCCTCGGCTCTGTAGCTAGCTACTGTAGTTAGATAACTACACAGCTGTGAGGCTGTTACATAATAGGAACTCTTGATAAAACATGCATGGAAAAATGGAACAGGCGTATAAAGTTAAGAAACAAAGAAGAAAAAGTAATTATAATTATTTAAATTCCTGTTCCAACACTTCAGACTATATCACTAAGCTTCTCCTACATAGTCTCTGTAGGGCACGTCTCTGAATGCAGTGACATCTGATATTTCTCCAGAGTCCTCCTTTTAATTTTGAAGTGGCCACAAGTGATTAAAAAAGGCACTATAAAGCCCATAAAAGCAGAGCCACGTAATGAAGAATCGTTACTCTTATGCTACTTATATCTACGGCCCTGATGGAATTAACAACAGAGAAAAGAAAAAATAACGGTTATTTTCTGGGATTCTAAAACTAACCTTTAAGAAAATAAGACTCAAAAACCAAAAACGTGAAGAAGCAGTACATTTACAAACAATTGGTGGAAGTCAAAATTAAATTAATTGTATTGTCATATGTTCTTTTGGATGCGGGTTAGAATCATTGACGCGGTGCACTGTTTTAATCATTCTTCACTTTTGTGTGAGAAATTTGGCTAGGTCCTCGTCACTGTAAATGAAAATGTGCTCTCAACTGATGTATGTGTTTCAATAAAGGACTGCAATTTAACAAAAACGTTTTATTCAATACAGAGCGAAAAGAGGTATGTCATTTCCTTAAAATAACACAATTAAACACAATCAAGCAGGCTTCAATCGAAAGCTAATTTCACATTTTTTTATAATTTAAACAAGAGTGATTGAGCCTTTGTGTACCAATCCAATTGGGGTTTTAGAAGTTTCGGTTTTGGGAGTAATTCCTCTGCCTCGCTGAATTATGTAACAGCTTAATTTTCTTTACTTGCAAAATGTTATTCTGATATCCATGCATGGACAGTGAAGCACATTTTGGAGACATGTTTTCGTATTCAGACGTGGTTAGAGCAAACTGAATCGCGTTAGGTACCGAACTTAAAAGGAAGTGTAAAAGGCTAAAATTCGTAGTCACCAGTGACAAGACGATGATTTACCTTCTGCATCTGCCAACTAACACCTCCACAGACACTTCCCGAAGTTAAAGAACATGCTTAAATTGCACGCTTAAACTTGCAGGCCCCCACACAAGATACATCTGCTCATTTTAAGACACTAGCATAGCAAAAGCGTCATTGGATTCTCCAACATTTCATGGAACGATGAAAAAAACCCATTCAATTTACCTGAACCTCGTGTGAGCACGAAAATATAAGTAACGATAAAGTACTTTCCCTAAATATACATTATTGCATATACAAGGGTACCAGATTATTTTTTTCAAACGAATAATAGTTTCAACAGGTCGCTACCACAAATGATCAATCCATACGAAAAACGATTTGTTTCAAAAACGATGCTGATCAACATTACTTACGCGATATCCAGCTAGACATGATCCCAACGTGTCGTAATGGAAAAAAATCTTAAATACATAAATTGCCTATTAAATATACAATGGGTGAAATTACTAGTAAGACATGTTTTAGATTACCATGAACACTATTTTGCGTTTGCCTATCGAAATTCGATTATAAAGTGTTTTACAATGGATATATTTATAAGCCTTGCGATGTACAAAAAAGTAACCATCCATAACGAATACTAATACTTATGCATAACGTCTACAGAACGCTTACGCATGTAAATGCGTACAAAACTGGTTTATACCACTGAAAACGAAAGTTACATTGCGAGGGTCAAGTCATAAGGCCATTCAAAGTGTTTGTGCTTCAAAAGAAATACACCCGCCCCCATCACACAAAACGCATACCTGCCATCTTTTTTTAAGACATGCATTTTTTCCCTCAAACACTGATGTAGTGCTTAATTCCCGGGAAGGCGTGATAAACACATTGCACTCTACCGAATATCAAAGTAAAGTCGAGGTAAACAGATCTCTTCTGGTGATAGAACAACATACACGGCTCCAAAATGGCTGCCCTACCCACAGTGGAATAAATATCTTGATACACACATACCTCTGAATTATAGTTGGAGCGGTGGCTTTCTGCAAAAACCTTAACGTATTCCGATCCGTGAAAGCAGTAGGCTTCGTATCCCTTTTGCGAGTTAATATCCCTTAATCTCAGGTGCCTGTCTGAAGGTACAGGTATTATTTGTTTGGGTTTTGTGACCGTGCTCGCTATGACTCTCTCCCAATCCGTCTATCTGTCCTGTTCCTGACTGCTGCTCTCAGGCGCGCTAATCAATCCCGGAGCTATTGGCTGGAGGCGTCACAGCAACAAACCCCCGCTGGAATCACGACCTACACCACAAAAAAAGTTTTCTTATTTCATTTGCTAAAGTTAATCTTCCTCAGTGCCACTTTAAACAGAAATAAAAATAATAACACAATGAACGGCACTTTAAATGTGTAATCACGAGAAAGCTCAAAAACCTATCGTATGTGTAAAGTAGTATTTTTCTAGTCATCATTACAGTTCCCTCCCTCCTTCCCCGCAATATTAATCTTTAAGAAGCAGAAACAAAGTGGAGAAAAGATCTTTATCAGCGAGAATTGAAGCATGAAAAAGAGCACAGCACAGAAAAGTCCGAAACACGCTGCACTTATTCAATGACAGTAAATACATCATACAAATTCGCAATACAACCCAAAATTTATTAACATGATATGTTTCACCGGTACCATTACCAACAAGGGCTAAAGATTAAAATATATCAAACGTAAAGCGTGAATTGCAACATTTTTGTACCATATAAGGCTTTGCTTTCTTTTTATCTGTAAGCTGTAGCTAGTAAAATGTGTTATGAATATCCATAATTAGAAATATCCTTATCTACGCAATGAGACAAGAGAAATGAGTATGTATATGGGTTCGGATAGGCTTTTTGTGTGGTATGATTTTAACGAATAATAAAAAATGTTAGGCCTTTATTTATTTTAATTATCTTGTAAACTTCGGAATTTGTTTACTTTAGGACGTTCATGCTACACATCATAATAAAAACACAAATGAACAAAGTTCATACTAGTTCATAAACTGTTCGCTCGAGTTCAATGCAGATCTAACTACAGTTATTGAGGGAATGAATGAAGTTCAATGAATTGTATTTTAGTGGGAACTTCGTTTCCTACCAACGTATCCAGTCGAACATTGTAAACGCTTGCACACAATCACCTTTTCGAGAAAACCGTTTAAGTGTGACCTTTCCAATTTATATTTTTTTAAGTCTTTGAAAACAACAGGTATTGTTCTCGATTCTTTAATTGAAACTAACGACAAAGAAGAAGAAGAAGCCTTTAATAAAGACCCTGAATAGAAAGTAGATTGCATTTTAAAGTACTTAACACGAATGAAAATACAAGTATTGGACTACGCAAATTATAATTAAACAATATTCTCTTTTCGTTGAGCCGGTTCAGAGCGATGTTACCTAAAGCCTAACAAGCAAAAAATAGTTTTTTTTTATGTTTTATTGTCTCTGGGTGTTCTAGGAGGACGGTGTACATTGAGCGGTAGCTTTATTTAATCTCAAATTTCAAAATGTTCTCCTGTTTAATAAAAAGATGCTTCACGACTGCTTGCAGGGTAAGTATGTATAAAAGTAATTCGATATGACATCTATGCTGACTTGATTTTTAAATTAATTGTTTTGGAAAATCTTTTAAAATCACCATGTAATTGGGTTTTATGCTCTCAGAAAAACAAAATCGTAAGAAAAACTGAGGAATGTTTCCACAGTTCTATGGTAAATGTGTCTTTAGCATCGCATAAAAATAATCTTTATATTTTTATCTTAAGAAGCATTTTTCTGTTCTTTCCACACATCATTAATGTAATTACTTTTTAATTTACAAAAACATCAATGACCGTGTGCATCAGGCCCTGCATGATTTACATGGACAAGTTGTCAGGCACTGCAGTTTTTGTCTTCCCCTGTTTCGTAGCAGTCCTAACACTGAATGGCTCTGTGTAGTTCACGTAGGTAGCTGTGTCAGCATGTGTAGGCTGCAAAGGAACAAGTAAAGGTTGAGTCTATGCTGAAAAGAGAAGAAAGGAAACACAACGGTTCAGCTTTGGAGCCTTCTTCGGGTGTGCCGAAACGTTGTGTCTGTATATGTATAATTAAGTGCCTTGACACTGGTGCTGAATTGTGGTATTTGGTTTTGTTCTAGACTCCCAGAGTGTCCAGTCTGTTGCAGGTGGAGCCTAGAATATCACCGTGTGCAATCAAGGCCTCTCCTCTCCCCCTGCTACCCTCGGCCTGCTCCTCACCCTGGCTCCCCAGGCAGTCTGCGGCCTGCATGCTGAGAGCCCAGCTCCTGCACCTCTCGCCCCAGAACCTCCAGCATAAACGCAGACGGACTGAAGAACCCCAGGAGCGAGAGCTGGACCTGCTGCGCTATGACATGAAGGATCTCCCGAAGGGGCCCAGGCCAGCGCTGTACCTTGGCTTTGCTGGGCTGATCCCCTTTGTCTCCGCTCCGCTGCTCATGGCTGTCACTGAGCTCTACTACCCAGAAATTGCCTACGCGCAGGTGGCCTATGGAGCTTCCATCGTGTCTTTCCTGGGTGGTGCCCGGTGGGGGTTTGCCCTTCCCGAGGGCAGTCCTGCCAAGCCAGACTGGCTGAACCTGGCCAACAGTGTGGTACCTTCTCTGCTGGCCTGGGTGGCACTGCTTTTCAGGGACAACATTACTCAGGCCACACTGATGGTTATCATGGGCCTGGGCATCTCCCTGCACTATGACCTAGCCCTCCTGCCAGGGTACCCAAGTTGGTTCAAGGCCCTGCGGACTGTCCTCACGCTGGTGGCCACTTTCTCCCTGGTGGCCACTCTGATATTGAAAAACGTCTACCCAGAAAAGATACTGAGCTTGGAGAAGAAGTGATGGACGTTGAGGTTACAAAAAGAAGAGTCTGAACCTTATGGTAAAAACAATGTAAAGACTGATAGTACGGTTTCAAAGATATATTATTTTTTTGATGAAGGGGGTGATAGATTTGTGGAAAAAATAATAATCGGGGAGAAGTACACCTTTCAGTTCTTATGGTCTTACCCGAGTTGTATTTGTGAAAGAGATGATGACTAGCAAGGCATAACTTGAGCATGGATCAATTATGTTGTTTTCATTTTAAGACCAAGGAAGTGGATATCATTCAGAAGAGAGACCAGGAAGTGCTTACATAACTCTTCTGTTAGTTAGCATGAGCATCTTCGCTTCCCACCCTGCAGGGACAATAGCTAACAATAATTGCATTACTTGGAGTGCAGCAATCCTTGCAGGACCCCAAGCCAGTTCAGAAATAAGGATTTAATCTGCTTTAAATGGATCCAGCATCAATTAGCCAATACCAGGGGTTGAAGTAAAGCCTGCTACTAAATGGAAAAGTCAGTGGAAATCTTTTGGAATCCTACAGTATGTGACATTGCATAGTGGTACACGTGTGAGAAATGTACAAATGCAGTGTGAAAGATGGATCATTTAATAAAGTTACTTAACCTCCAAAACCTCAAAACCCTGGTTGCCACCTACTGTTGTCTTGTCATCTCAGCACTCCCTCTTTCAGACATCCTTGTCCACCCTCACCTCTCAGTGGTGGAAAGAATTGCCCATGAAACTCAGAGTTGCTTGGTCCCTGACCTTTCAGTGCTTACTGTACATGAAATCTGTACCTGTGTGCACAGCACCTGCGATCTCTCAGCTACTGAAGATATCGCACACTATATTGCATTAATGTTTTAAATTCTCAAACTGATATTGTAACTTGCTTATTCACTAAAAAATGGAATACATACCTACAGGATGTTAATAATATGCAATGTTTCCTAACAAATGTAATTGTGTGCAGTAGCAAGGCTTTCAGATACATAATGGTCTTAACATATTTTTGGTCTTTTCATTTGCACAGAGATCACATCCTTCCAGTTGATCTAATTGTCCTATTCTAATTAGAATTAGCCTGTGTGCTGAAAACTACTTCAGGTTATTTCATTTTAGTTTTGAATTTTAAATAATTTTAAATGCTCATTTTATGGGAGCCACTTACAGTCACTTGTGCACTGCACAAGTATGAAAATGAAAAGTGCTACTGCAGGAAATGTTACATTTGCCTTTGCAACACAGCCTTTCACCAATAAAACCTTATCCCTGCTGTCATGCATGTTGGTGGAACTGTCCTTGTATGGGGGTGTTTTTCTTACTCTGGCCCTGGGCAACTTGACATTCAGGGAATCATGAATTCTGAGAAATATCAAGGAATTCTTGAGAAGAATGCCAGGCCATCAGTTCGAAAACTCAAGCTGGGCACAAAGTAGATGTTTCAACAAGACAACGATCCTAAACATTCCACAAGTCCACAAAAGAATGGCTTAGGAAGAAAAGGTTCCATGTCTGTGAATGGCCGACTCAAAGCCCTGACCTGAATGCTATTGAAATGTTGTAGCAGGACCTGAAGAGGGCTGTTCATGCAAGACATCCTTCAAACCTCACAGAACTGGCAGAGTTTTGTAAAAAATCCCTCCAGCAAGATGTCAGAGACTGATAATTGGTTACAGGACGCCACTGTGTAGTTATTTTTGCTTAAGGAGGTGCCACAAGTTGTTTTTCAGACAACATTTGCAGATAAGGATATCTGGTTATTTGTTAAATATCATAGTCTAATAATCTATGAGTTAAAATCCCTTTTTATGTGTGGGAAGTCTTTATTTAGAATATTCATTCTATATATTCATTAAGAGTTCAGGTTCTTATATCTCTATAATATCTAAAATAATGACCAACTTGAAGGGTTCACAAACATGACTGCATGCTCTCTAGGAAAGAAAGAAACATACAGATGCATTGAAGTAGTCCAGGTACGGAGCTGCTTCAGCATTCGTAGGCTGCAAAGGAAAAAGGAAAAAGCTGTGGAGCCTTCTTCGGATGAATGCTTCTCCTCAGTCGAAGTGTTGTTTCTTTTCTTCTCTTTTCAGCACAGAATAAACCTTAACTTGTTCGTGTAGATGTGTTGCTGCTTACGTATTGCACAACAAGCACATAATTCCTTATACAAGATAATACTTTAAAGCAGTCCGGCATTATTTTAATTTTACAGTTTTCGATTACAGGCGTTTTGTAGCCTACACAAAATTAAAAAGGAGTATCTGAAGATTTTATCTTGCACAGAGTAATGACAATATTATTATGTGTACAACACTTTAGCTTTCTTATTAAAAATCTATCAGTGACTCTGGAGCCTTTAATTAAATAATTTAGCCAATGACGATGACTAATAAAAGTGCTGTCACAGACTTTTGGAAGGACACCAGAATTGAGAACCCTAGTGTTCACAGTAACAGCTGCAGACACTGAACTAGATATTGACCTTTCACATACTGTCATGGAGAATTTAACAGCATGCAGCTCCTGGTCAAAATTGACTCACTGCAAAAAATTGAAATGCACATCTAGTAAGAGCAAACAGTATTACAAAAGATAAATTACACTTTTTCCAAAGCAGAGTCAATCTTGAGTCAGCAAAGGTTGTACATAAGAATGCTTCTACATTTGGAAACAGTGACCATTCAGAAGTCCTGAAGGGCAACTTTTCTCTATGCCAGTTACATATCTTCTATATCTTGGTATCATTCTTTCTGTATTGAAGTTACTGAATTTTGAAAGGTGAAAAAAATAATTCTAAGCAAATTAATTATTGAAAATGGGCTGTGAAAACTATCAAAGCACGTTGTTTCAAATATAGTCCATTCAAAATCTGAGAACTATGCTGAAATTAAAAAGTTAATTTTTCTTGTACAGTATATCAATATTGTTTATAGCATGATTGGCTTCTTTATATTCATATAATTACTTTCAGGAAATTAAGTGTACATTCTTCTTTGGAGTAAAAAGCTTTCACAGTTGCCCAACTATGTACGTAATGGAAAAAAGGTGAAATATGTAATTTCCGTGTCCTTGGCACTAGGATGTGAAAAATGTGTTGATGGAGTTTTTTTTCCCATGAAACAAGCAGCACTCCACAGTTAAAGTGTCTTCTTCTCTAGACCTCGAGTTATTCTTCTTTGTTAATTTTCCTAAAGTGCTGGCATGTGGGGTACAAGCAAATAAAATCCCCACTGCGTAGTGCTTAGCTTGTTCATTTACAGAGAATAACCTGTAACAGCACCTCCAGCTCACCTTCTAAACACTTTTTGTAGGAACCGGAAGGTTACTTCCAGACCCTGAATGTTGTATCTCAGGTCCCATGAGAAAAAAAATATTTTTTTTCCTCCCCGATGATTTAAACTTTTAAATTCACACACTTGAGGGACCATTTAAAATAGAAGTTCGTTAACACTTATTTGCTATTGAATGAAAAATAACCAACAGCTGTGCACTGGAATAAAGACCCCATCAGAGGGTCTTTCACCTCATATTATAACAGCACTTTGAAGGCTTTAGCAATGTTGGTGCTGGAGAAAGACCCAGACTGCTTTTTCTCTCGGCGTGACTTTTAGAATCTCTGTATTTTTACCTAATACAGGGTCAGATCTGTTAAAAAGATAAAAAAATGATACGAACTAAATAACTCCCAAGCCAGTCCCAAGCCAGTCCCGATGATCAAGCTGTTGTGCACAGTGCTTGTGTGATATAAAACCACTATGATCCACTCCAGAGGTGGTGTCTGAAGAGCTTTAGTGTGCTGTTGCTGGTTTGGCCATGTGAGGAGTGGGAGGCACAGTACAGATGCAGGTGTCTCAGAGCACAGCCACTCCTCCATCGCAGCGACTGGTGATCATGTTGCCGATCTCGGTCCAGGTATCCAGGTGGGGGTCGTAGATCTCAACGGAGTCCACCGTCACGGGCGCGGAAAAGTCGCGGCTGGACGCCCGCCCCCCCACGGCATAGAGAAGCCCATTGACCGCCGCCACCGAAACTCCTGCCCGCGCCATGGCCATGGGGGCAACTTCCACCCACTTCTCCTGGACGAGAGAGAGGCAGAGGGAGTGAAGGAGTAAAAACACGAGGGAGGCAGAGAGATGGGCAGTGAGACACAGGGATGGTACTGCAGTCCTCAAAGCACAGGCATATGATTGTTAATGTAATGGCCCAATTACTTCATTTTCAGAAGGTCCACCTGCAGGATCACTTCCATGCAACATCTAATGCTACAATCAAAACTAAGCATCACATGAGACACATAAGCACAATTAGAGTCACGGTTTCTATCTACAGTGGTAACTCTTCACCACTTAGCTGCATGACTGGAGTGTGCACACCAACATGGATCATATTCCCCTGCACGATGGCAAATAAAGGCCATTTCTCATCACAGTTCCCATCAACAGACTCCCAATTCTGTCTCTCATTTAGCGATGGTGTATATTTCTCTGTGACCACAACTTTCAAACATAATTAGTAGAAACACGTTCTCAAATAATGCCACAGCTAAAACCCCTGAAACCAAACTTTTTCCTCTTTATCCCATACAATATTTATCTGGACTGTAGTTACTAGTGTTGTGAAATGTATGTACACCATATATAAGTAACAGAATTGATTGCTGTAGGAAGAGACTGTCTGAGCTTGTGTGTTTCTTTGTGTGTTGCAAGGTTCATCAAGTCCAGATCTGTGAATGTGAATGCAATCAAAGTAAGATAACCACGAAATGGCCAGCAGTTTTGGCTCTTGCACAAAACAAGCATCTCTTAAGATTAATTAAGGTGCTTTGCACCTAGTTATGGGACTCTAAATAGTAGTGATCCAATTATTCCACCGTAACCCACCTCCTCAGGGCAGTATTTCTCCACTGTCTCCAACGAACCCAAGGCCTCGTTCCACCCCCCGACTGCGTAGATACAGTTGTTGAGGCAGGCTACGCCCACATATGCCCGGCGCATGACCATGACAGGCAGAGCACTCCAGCGCTTGGCAATAGGATCGTACATCTCCGCCGAGCGTAGCTCTATCCCCTCATCACTGATACCTCCAATCACATAGATGAACCCTGCAACACACAGAGAAACACACAAGCTCAGACAGTCTCTTCTTATAGAAATCAATTCTGTTACAACACTGAAAATCTGAAACAAAACACTTCTGTTGTATTGACATGGTACAGAATTATATACAGTAGTTTGAGTGTAATAGTTCCATACTGAAGACAGCTTTATAAATCAGGTGTTGTTTTGTCATGTATTTATTCCTCAAAATTTGTCATTTATTATTCTTCATACTTAATCAAAGCACATTGTATTATATCCCCTTTGAAATTCAGCTCCTTACCTTGCATCTCACAACAACCAAAGTAATATCGAGGAACTGGCATGCTGCCTACAATTTCCCATTTGTTTTCCGCTGGGTCATACCGCTCCATGGTTTTCCCAATCTCTGAGCCGATCCATCCCCCTGTGAAGATGCACTCAAATCAGAAGAACATGTGCTAAAATTGACAGCCCGAATTCAACTGCGTACAGTTTAGCCCAGCCTTTCCCCAAAGTTGCCTCTTTAGTTAATGGCATTTTTTTCCTGTCTCAAAATGAAGTGTCAACTAATATAAATGTTAAATCCATAATGAAGATCTACGTAATGCCGGTTTGGAAGTCCTGACTAAGCTCTACTCACCATTACCCCAATGTAGTTTTTAATAGTAAAGTGGCTTGAATAAGCCTATTAAAACTGTAAGCACTCTGCATCGATACTGAAGAAAAAAAGAGCAAGGGGACCGGGCAGGGGTGAGTGTGGGAGAGTCTTCTGTAAAGAAACCACCCGTCTAGGGGGAGTCATGAAGTCACCCCTGAAGCAGCGCTGTATTTTCCCACAACACCAAGGTATTAACAAATCAGTTTATAAAAGAGAATGCTTCTTTTAACAGTGGGAATGTTTATCGGCGCTTCTTCAATCACCCCTCAATTCAAGCCCTGGACTAAACATCTAATACCTTAATTCCTATGGGACTTTGGCCCTCAAGGATCACAGCAGTGAGAAACTGTAAAGAAAATGAGGATCTGTAGCTACACACATACTCGGTGCTTGCTCATGAGATACACATTCACCGCATTACCTAATGCATAAAGAGCTCCATGGCAGGGACAGACACCCACTCCACAGCGTGGGAAGTTCAGAGAAGCCACAGCAGCCCACTGCTTCGTCACTGGGTCATATCTCTCAGCACAGTCAAATATCATAGAGTCCTTTTCCCCTGTAAAATCCAATTCACACACCATTCAGACACGTCACAAACAGGATGAACCTGAAAATATTAATAATAATTCCTTACACTTAACTAGCGCTTTTCTGGACACTCCACTCAAAGCACTTTCCAGGTAATGGGGACTCCCCTCCACCACCACTAGTGTAAAGACCCAACCTGGATGATGTGATGGCAGCCATAGTGCACCAGTACACTCTCCACACATCAGCTATCATTGGGGAGGAGAGAGTGATGAAGGCAGTTCATAGATGAGGATTGTTAGGAGGCCATGACTGGTTAAGACCAGAGGTAATTTGGCCAGGATGCCGGGGTTATACCCCTACTCTTTTCGAGAATTTCGAGAATTTTTAATGACCACAGAGAGTCAGGACCTCAGTTTTACGTCTCATCCAAAGGACGGCGCCTTTTTATAATATAGTATCCCCATCACTGCACTGAGGCATTACAACCCACACAGTCTGCAGGGTGAGCGCCACTAACACCTCTTCTAGCAGCAAACTTAGCTTTCCCAGGAGGTCTCCCATCCAGGTACTGGGTGGGCTCAGTCCTGCTTAATTACAGTGGGTTGCCAGAAAGGAACTATTAAGGTTTACAGGTGTAAATATACCACTGTAGGCATGGAACTCTTGATTCAAAAGGCAGAATCTCTGGAGTATGACGCAGAAAACATCTGTGATAGCTGTCCTGAAACGTGCTTCCTCACTCTGAACTGCATGAGTTTGATTTTGCCATGTTAGTCATCTGTTTTATCCATTTTCAGAACAAAAAAGATGTTAATATAATGTGGTGCAAAAACCCATGAGAAAAACTACCAAGGTAATTTTTTTAACTTACATAGCATGCGTACCACAGCTTTAAAATGACTTTAAATTCCTCTTACTTCATTCCACTGACCTGTTACACTGTAATTAACCACAATTAAGGGAAGTACCATACCACTGTTATGAACACTTAAAAGCTTGGCAGAACCAGTGAAATCTTTCTTATATCATGGTATATTAGACTTAAATTGTCAAGGAAACCAATGATAATTGCCAAAGCAACTTTACACTTTCCCCACTTTCATACGTGAGGCTGTATGAATACAGTCCACTAGCCTGCTGGCTCCAGGACACCCACCTCCAACCACGTAGATCATGCCCTCCAGCACCGCAACGCCTAGCCCGCTGCGCGCCTGGTGCAGGGAGGACACTGTGGTCCAGTACTGGCTGAAGGAGTCGAAGCGCTCTACACAGCTCAGTGCCCGGCTGTCACTCCACCGGCCGCCCTGCAGGCGCGTGTATCCCCCTGAGGCGCAACAACACTGGGGTTAGACAGACTCCTTCACCCGGGGGCCCGATCTCATCCCACCTCTGCTCATGTACCTCTCCAAGCTGAGGGAGGCTAGAAGAGTAGAGTAGACTTTACTGTCCTATGCACAAGTGCAATGAAATGCTTATTGGCACAAATGCTCCTAAACAAAGACATCAAGGAAACACCAAAAACACAGAACAGCGGCAGCAACAACTACGAGTTAAATAACATACATCTTAGAGAAAAAAAAACCATCAGTGTGAGCCAGTGGTAGGGGTAGAGTTCAGTAATCTGACAGCCTTAGGGAAGAAGTCTAGACGTTCATGCCTTTATGCTCCTATAACGCTTAAAAGTGGGAAGAGGGGAGAAAAGTGAGGAACCAGGATGACTGGTGTCCTTAACGATACTTCCAGCCTTCCTGAGGCAGCGAGTAGTAAAAATGTCTGAAATAGAGGGGAGCTGTACTCCAATGATGGACTGGGCTGACCTGACCCCCCGCCCTCGGTAACGCCTTCCCCTGTAACTCCTTCTGGTCAGACAACGAGCTGCTGCCTAACTACACTGTAATACCACATGTTAGCACACTCAATAGCACACCTGTAAAATGTGGTATGGACAGTTGAAGGCAGTCCAAATGGTTTCAATTGACTGAGGAAATAAAGGCGTTGTTGTGCCTTCTTTGTAGTTAGTGTCGCTAGCGATGAAGGTAACCAGGAACTTGGAGCTGCTAAACATCTCAACAGCCAACCAATTGATGTGAATAGGGGTGTGGTCCCCACCCTGCTTTCTAAAATCAATGACCAGCCCTTTGGTTTTACTGACATTGAGGGAGAAGTTATTGTCAAGGCACCATTCCACCAGGTTCCCGACCTCATACCTATAGGCTGTCTCATCAATACTGGTGATTCGGCCAATGACGGTAGTGTCAGCAGCATATTTGAAGATTGAATCGGAGCTGGAGAAGTTGGAGAATTCAAAGAAAATAATGTCACTGCAGTATAGGAAGAGGTCATGGAGGATCAGCAGTTGGCACTCCTTTCCTCTGAGCCAAACTCACTGCCTGGTTTTAACAGTAAGTACTGTTAAAAGGTGCTGTCCTTTGGGTGAAACCCTACACACACAGTTATATGCCCCAGTGATACATATCACAGTCAGGGTTTTGGGAATCAAAGATATGCAGTTGTTAAATGCCCCTAATGCCAGAAACAGGCCCATGCCTATTGCACTTCACTAAATGGTTACTGTTCCAGGTAAAACTATATCAAATGCCTGTCTGAAAAAAACAAAACAAGACTCATATTTTCAAAATTCAATTCAATGATTACCTTTTAAAACATAATTACATAAACACGCGCTTGAGGCCCTCATCAAAGGATCAAAGTAACAGTCACATTTCCCTTATACCCCCTTTAACATGAGGTAGACAACCAGGGTGTGCTCTATATGGTGGAAGTGAAATCAGTGTTATTTACCTATAGCATAAAGATACTTCCTTGCCTTTCTTCGTGGACGCGTCTTTGCTGGCTGCAGTAAACTGAACATCTTGTTCTCCTTGGGAGACTTGCTCACTTCAGTGTATTCTCTCAGCAAGGTCTGCAGTGCCACCCGCAGGCTAAAGTCAGAAATGCCTTTTGGAAAAAAATACATGAAGAAACAAACAAAACAAGAGGATTATATTGTGTCTAAGGAAAACACATGTATTCAAACTCATATTGTACATTTATAATCTATACTATAAAACATTATGTGATGGCTGAATGTGATCAAATAGCAAATGTGCTGGATAGGCAGAATGGCTTCCTCTTGTTTGTAGCTTTCTTAACTTCCTCAAGAATTAATAATAATGATAATTGCTTACATTTATATAGCGCTTTTCTGGACACTCCACTCAAAGCCCTTAAATTCTGACTCTTACTTCACTCGTACAACATGAATGCATTTTCTTCTTTCTATTGTAGCCTGAATACTCATAGGCTAGGGTAAGTTGAAGGCTCAATGTGCCGTGGTTTCTTTCTGGTTGCACATCCTGCACAAATATGATGAGTGAGAGTGCTGTGTGAAAATACCAGCTCCGAGCTCCTGGAAAGGGGGACCTACAGCTGTCGTTCCAGATGCCCTACCCTCGATGTACTTGAAGAGCCGCTGCGGAGAGAGAAGGGGGAAGCGCACGGGGTCTAGGACCTCCACCACGTGTTTCTTCCTCTTGGGCACGTCCTTCAGCACCCAGCCCATGGCGGCGGTGAACACCTGGTACTCGTCTTCGATCCGCAGCTCCTCACTGCGCAGCAGCTTCACCAGCTGGTCCTTCGAGAGGCCGGCAAACTCGTCTGCCACGCATACCTGACACGGGGCACACAGAGCCATGGAAGGTAAATACTGCGTACAGAAGCGCTGCTCGCAGTAATGTGCTTCAGGAAACATCACAGATACCAATTACAGGTAGTGGTCCTTCATGTCAAGAATAAATCAACATTCACATTTTATACATTCAACTGTTTTGATTGTAACATATTTACACAGTATCAAAAGATACTTTTCCTTTCAGCTGAATTGTAATGCCCAGTTACACCCTTAACAACAGTAAAACCTATCTTAATCAGATAATTTCCCCCTCCTTCAGCTCTTACAATTTCATTTTTTGTTCCTACAAAACTTATAATTGTAAAATATCAGGCAAAAAAAAATCAAGGATGTTTGTTCAGTTAAATATTAATAAGCTCTAGTTCTCCGCATCTGGACTTTGTTATTCCTGCTACAGTATAATGGAAGCTGAAACAAGGAATTAGATCACAGCACTGGCAGCAAATGTCTGATGCTAAACATTTCAACATATTTCCTTTCAACATCCGTTCACATATTGCCTTCTGTGCAGCGCTCTCTAGGTAGTAATGTGCCCTCACCTCCAGGAAGTGAACGTAAATGTAGTTCTCTGTGAACTCCAGCATCTCAAGACAGGCTATCTGCTCCAGGAACTGGTAAATTCCCACGCAGTTGGACGGATCCATCTGCGCCTTGAGAAACTCACAGCAAATACTGACCACCTCACTGAGCTGGAGCATATCTGCGGCAACGATTAACTCCTGGACATTGTCCACATTGACGTTGATCATACCTGCACCTCGGACACACAGAGTGAGACACATCAGAGCTGAGGTCGACACCTGCTTTGAATCAATCAACAAAATCAGCAGTAGAGAATGTATTAGCTTATGTTTAGCCAATTCATTGACTACAACGTTGTGAGCAGATTCATGTTTATAAATATAGTCGTGTACATTGACTAGGTAGTCGATCAATGATCAAAATGCTTACACATTCATCTTCTAATTTCTCAGCGTGGAACATTTAGCAACATTTTTGAACCAAAGATCTGAAAGAATTTCTGAAGCCTGTCATCTCCAGTTAAACACCAGTCGCTTGAGTTAATTCCTTACCTAGTTACATTTCTTCTCAAATGAACACAGAGCACCTATTTAAAGCAGAGGCGGAACAAGCAGTTGAAACAAATTCACATACAGTACATCTCAGTGCTGGCAGCCTACCTGTATATATGAACTCCAGCAGTATTTCAAACGCGTCGGCCTCCACGCCGAGAATCTGCACGAAGTCTCGGTTGGCCTCCCGCATGCCCCCCGCGAACAGCGCAGAGAAGTAGGGGCTGCTGGCCGCCAGGACGAGCCTGTGCACGCTGAAGCCTCGGCCCCCCACCTGCAGCTGCACATCACAGAAATCCTTCCTCAGCCGCATCTTGTTCATCTGGGCCAGGAGGAGCCGTGCGTACCTGTCCGAGGAGTACTGGCCCTGCTCGGGGGACGTGCTCTTCGGCTGGGCCACAGAGGCCATGGCTGCTTTCCCAAGAGTCCCAACGCCGTGGCAACGGAGAAATCACTGCCTCCGCACCCCACACATCTCCCTTCTACACTGGAACACAAATGAGAAGAAGAGAGGATACGCAGAACATTAAGTTATATTTTTTTCATTTCAATTTTTGCTCACATTCCAATATGGAGGCTATATATTATGGGCTTATTATTATGGGAATAATTTTGGCTTTGAAATTTACACTTGCAGTATTTGTGTGAGTCAGCAAGAGCACAAGGGACAACCCTCAAGAATGGAAATGAAGAAAAACTGCAATTATTTTATATATGTAATAAAATGGTATATTCATTCTTATACAAAATTAAAGAGTGAAAATAGCAAACTCATCCATGGCCTAGTGTAAAATGTACGCTCTTGAATTTATACAGGGTTGTACTGTGTCCTACTGAAGACACATAAATCAACATATTGCTTAATTTAAACAGTTAAGCTGCTGCAACAGCAAAGACCAAGAGACCTCCTGTATTTACTCTAAGAGGATGCTACGTAAATACACTCGAGCGGTGTTTTGAGAACAGCGGAACAAATAAAAATCCAACAACAGCAATGACTAATAATAATGTAACTCTTGCTCAAACGATTGGAAATCTGCAAAAGGTCTCGTTAATCTAGTACAAAACTTATCTGATGTCCGAAGACGGCAAACTTGTCAAAAAATGAACGGTTTGTTCTTGTTTTCAGAATTATTCAAGTCTAAACAAAATACTTATATTTGGAAACATTAAAAGCTATAATGTAGTCACTTTTATATATTTGTGAGTCGTTCTGCGCCTCTTAAAAAGCTTATTCCATCAAGGACAGAATTTGTTATTCTTCCTAATCTAGCAGTGAAGGTGCGTATACTTATCATCTCAGTATCGCCATCACATAAGCAAAAATAAATATTCCAACGACCACTACGTAGATGCATGTTGAAATTTAGAGTGGCAAAACAGTAACTGCCGATTGCACAATCAGCTGAGTATACTCACCTGCATCAACAGTTCGGCAAATATCACATAGTCAGTCAAAATGTGTACACACATCAACTTCCGCCTGTCAATCCGTTCACTCGTCCAGCAACTAGTCTTGACTATCTAACCTTGAGCAGGAATAGACCAGAGTAAACGTCCTCCGTCCATGTCTAGCATCCACCTTTCCATCCATTTTCAATTATCGTTTAGTCTAAGTCCATTATACCGCCGCTACTCACTGGGCTTTAACCTAATTTAGAAAAGCCAATTAATTACCCTACACAGCATTCTTTGTACTGTGAGGGAATCCTAAAAAAAAAAAAACAGATTAGCCCATTAGGTTAGGTTTTTCTTAAACTCCCAAGACGGCCATAGTAACTACTGACTTTGATGAAGCCCATTGCATTAACTTTGTCAAGACCTTTCAAGACTTCATAATGCCTGTTGTTATACACTGAAGAGGTTAAGTTCTTTAAATTAGTGTGAAATACAATACAAAACTATTTACAATGTGTTTTTATAAACTGTACTACAATATAGGAATTGTATTTTTCTGTAGACCATCACTGCTTGATACATTTGCATCGAAAAACAAATCTGACCAGTTATTTTTTACCATTGTACCATTGCCTGTGAACATGTCTACTTTGTAATAACATTACAAAATGAATCTCCAAGAAACTAGGTCTATGAAATACAATTCATTGACTGGTATCAGATAACCAATTAAATAGCTATTCAGTTTTTTATGCAAACACTACTATGAAACAACAAAGGGAGATTTTTGTGGGAAATTATCTTACTTAATGCTTATAGATTTCCAAGAACATTTGTTTTGAAGCATCATTCAGGGTTTATTTCTATATTTGTAGATAATACCTGTTTTGTTGATTTTTTATTTTTCTATTTTACCATAGCCTAGTTCTGGATATCTGTGAGCTTTAAAGAGGGGTGACATTCCCAGTGATCCCTTCCTGACAGGGTCCCTAGATTGTTCCACCCAGAAAGTAACCTGGCATGTCAGCTCCCACTCACACTGTCTTTAACTGTCACCTCTTGTTTCCTTGCTTTGGAAGAATAAAGTTTCACCTGTGGTTATTCTAACAGTGGGTTTGTAGTTGTTTGCCGTTTAGAACATAACACAACAGTATTTAATCATTAATTTCAGTGTTATGTATTGTTTGTGAAAGAGATCAAGAGGATTACAATTGTTCACAATGATAAGGACAGGCAGGGAAAGATAGGGAAGGCAAAAGAACAAGGTAAAGCTGAAAACAGTGAAAGTATCAAATGACAAGGAGTGGATTTCAATACACCGATTTTACTTTTATTAAGCTGTACATATATGCTTTGTTTGGTATATTGTGCACTTGAACACTCTGTAAATATCTGCTGCAATGCGGCTTTGTCCTCTTTTGCAGAAAGCTTGATGTGAGAAGTGCAAGTCCATCCCATGATGCAAAAGTAGGATCTCTTCATTCCTTTTTAAGGACTACTGACCTACAAAATAAAAAAGGACATTTGAATTAAATGGTACAGTAAAAGAGGAACCCTCAGCTTGGTTTTGGGTTTGGGTTTCTCTTTCAGTCTCAGTTCCACTTTGAGATATTGGTAGACAGTCTGTATTTCATCTAGGACCTTTCAGTGCAAAAAAGGATGTCAACACGGGAAATTCTGAACCTAGAATTAAAAGAGGTTGTATAAACAGCATTACTAGAAATCTTTGGAACTTGTTTTTGTTGGTGGGCTTGTGAATGGGAAAAAAATTATTTAAAAATTAAGTTGCCAAAAAAGCATTACATCAAAGACCCTTTGATTCCTTCACATTTTTACTTTTCCACTTAATATTTTTATTTTCCTGAAAAGTTTCAGAAAGGACAGAGGATACTGGGAACTCGATTTTAAGGCCATTCTGAAAGCACAGTATTTAGGTGTAAAGAAGAAAAACAAATTCCATTTAGGGAAATAAATAACTGAAATAGCTTTGAAATAAATTGCTGAAATAGCTTGGCTATATAGTGTGGATTGTCCAGCCCTCCTTGTAATACCAATATTAAAATTAACTCATATGTAACCAGTCATCTTCAATATCACGCCCCAAGTTAACTGGCTTCCATGTGTGTTTAATTGTATTCCTGTGTTAAATCATTAAATCCTAAATTCAGTAGTTCCTGTAGGTTCCCTCTGCTGTGCAATGCATTGCAAAGCAAAGGCTCAACCATCAGCATCAGGATCTTTTAGAAGAACTCCGGAAGAAAACTGTGGAAAGGTACAGGTCAGGGGTGGAGTATAAAAAAAAATTAAAGGTCTGGAATAACTCTTGGAGCACAGTCAAGATGATTATTAAGAAATTAAATGTTTATGGCACCACCAAGACTCTGGCTATATCAGGCCAACACTTAAAACTGGATTACCAAGCAAATGAGAGACTGATCAGAGAGGCCAACAAGAGACAAATGGCAAATTTGAAAGAGCTATGTTCTTTTATGACAATTGCTGGTCAAAGTGTGCAAATGACAACAGTATCTCAGACATTCCACAGATCTGGCCTCAATGGGTGGGTGGCAGTGACATTGGGAGTAAGTCTTACTCAAGAAAGCCCAGCTTGAATCCTGTTTGAAGTAAGCAGCAGATTCTGTGGGCACATGGCAAAAAATTGGCTCTAACAAAATGTGAAAATCTTAAAAATTGAAGATGACTGTTTTTCAATGTTCTCCAAGGAACCTGACAGAGCATGGACAGTTCTGTAAAGAAGAATGGTCAAGCACCATTCAAATCATGACAAATCTACATGTTTAAGTTGGTACAGACTGATCTCAACAGATTCACAGCTGTAATTGCTTCTAAAAGTGCTTCTACCAAGTATGAACTCAGGGGCTGGGGGACTTATCCAATTATGATATTTTACTTTTGAGGAGAAAACATTATTAAAATACAAAAGTATGGAATATTTTGTGTGGATAAGATGACAAAATCCACATTTAGATGCATGAAACTCTGAGGCACTGACACAACCAGATGTCAAAGAATGAAAGGGGTGTAGACTTTCCACAGGCAGCAGGGTGTATTTGAGAGCTCCAGTGGAATGAAAAGCAGTGATGAAGGCTGGATTACAGCAGTTTATATGTTTTCTTCACATCATTATTTTCCCTTTTGCCAACTGCAAACCAAATTTCATTTGAACAGATAGGAGCCCTGGCACTAGCTAAAGACTGGATCCGTGGTTTAAACCCTAAACTCACTCCTCGCCTTCTGGCTCTGCTTCCGGAGCCTCCAGTCTCCTGAGGGCTTGCTGGCAGGACGTCTCCTGGCTGGAGGCTGAGCTGCTGGAGCTGCTGGAGCTGGAGCTGGAGCTGGAGTCCTTGTACAGGATGTATTGCAGCACCATCTCATCTCTGCCATCCATCCTCAGGCAGCGGCAGTCCGAGTCGGTGACCATGAACGTCTGGCCCCACATGCTCTGGCACAGGTCTGTTCCATTGGAGTACATCTGGCCAGAAAGAGATGCACATTGAAAAACCAAACTGGTCAGCTTCTGCTGCCTGTACTAGTACCCTGCAACCACAGACTAAACCAGTTTAAGCGCATTGAAACTTTGTGCTATATTCTGAAAACTAGTTGTACTGTTTTAAATTTGAAATAAAACCAGCCTTTAATCTATGGCTCATTATCTTGCATGCAAATTTAATTTTATTGGACATCTGGCATTATCTGAAGCTGTTGTTCTCTACTTTTGTATTATATGCATGATGCCCTATATTTGACCACTCTGAGATGGTGCACAAAAGACAATTGAATTAATAAATAAAAATGGAATTAGCAGATTTAACATAAATTGACAGTTGTATTGAACTGTCTAGCAGCTATTTCATTTTTCTGTACTGGTGCCCTGTCCAAGCTGTATCTTTCCTTGTGCATGCCATTGTCGTCCTTATGACTTGCAGAACAAAATGCAAAACAGTTGAAAGCATGAGAAAAGAAAGGTATAATGTAAAAGGCTGTATTTACAGAGTGGAGTCCAGTGGTGTAAGCTGATCCAAAAACAGATAAATCAGGAGATACTCATGTGTCACATTGACTGCTGAATTAGTAAACAGAAGTCTGGCTGTTTCAACAGATGGATGCACACAACTGAGTCCAAAAGGGCAATGTGTCTGCCAATAACTCCTTTTTCTATGCCAATAAATGGTGGACATTTTAGTGCAGTCTTAATTTTGCTACAGTCTTATTTCACTGCACCACTGGGGAAAATGATTTGATTTTGATTGGTGTTTAAAGAGATTTAAAAATAAACCCGCTCCAATCATCTTTTTTTTCAGCACAGATGAGCATATCACTGCCAGCTGTACAATTCCTATATTCTATGAGATTCATGCCAGAATACATGCCAGTACTAACAAAAACTCTAGTAACTTCGAGTCATTAAATATGTTCCAGCCTCTTTTATTATCCTAATTCTTAGCTAATCCTATAAATGTCCTTTGAACTTTGCAAGAAGCTCCCCTTTCCAAATTCTTAGTCACACATGTCAAGGGCAGCATACATTTTTAATCCATTTAGCCTTTTCATCTGTCTGTTACCAAAAAGCTGCTTTTCCAGGTTAGCATCACAGAAAGCTGGGGCCTATCCCAGACGTACAGGACAGAGGTGGGATTGAGACCATAATACTACTCTCCCCCACAGGTTCATTGTGGGATCACAGTGACAATTGAGAAAAGCCAGTGAAGTCTTCTTGGAGCTAAGTGGAAACCTGAATACCAGGAAAAAAAAACATGCAAACAGAGAGAGAACATGCAAATTGCACACAAACTTATAACCCTGGAGCAGTATGGTAGCAGTGATAGACTCAAACTCTGTCCTGCATCTCTTTGTCATAATGCGGAACATTATGACTGGTGGAGTGGGAAAGACAAATGCATACTTTGTTGAATGGCACACAGTCTCCACTGCAGTGGTTGTTGCCATTCTCGTCCCATTTGAAGTCAGTGATCCAGTTCTTTGCACACGTCAGGTCATTTTTGCATGCATCAAACCTAGATGTCACAGGAGAAACAAAATATCTGGCTGCATAAAGTAGTGTTATGACTCTACATAATTAAAGGATGTTTTTTTAATCACCATTTTAAATTAAAAGCTCATTTTATGTTGATGTAATGTTGATCTTCCTTCTGTTTCCTCCAATGGTTAACAAGTGGAGAGATTAGTAGTAGAAGTAGTAGTAGTAGTAGTAGTAGTAATAATAATAATAATAATAATAATAATAATAATAATACTTAACACTTATATAGCACTTTCTCTACACTCCACTATAAGCTCTTTACTAGAAATGGAGACTCCCTTCCACCACCACCAATGTTAAAATAAGGCTGCATACATTATAGGATGGACTGCAAGACAACAAAAGCCCAGTTCTTCACCTTAGATTAAAACAAAACTGAGTGAGGTTATTACTGAAGTGAAAGGAGTGTGTTTTTTTTTTCTTTGAGGGGGTTATGATTAAAAGTGCCCCTAGGGCAGTGAGACAACATTTTAGCTGCAGTGTAATGGAGTAGCAATGCAATGGAACATACCCTCTAGTGACTATAAGTCTGGTGCATATGGTCTATACTGTATATCTCTGATCTATGTCGCTGGAGAAGTGTGTGAAAGGAAACAGAGAGTACAGAAGAGGAGTTTATTGCCACATGTACATGTACATTGGGATTCTTATTTGCGCTGATCTGTCAGGACATGCACAATACAACGGACAACACCACACAATGTAGACATAATAAACATGATAAATAATAATAACAGGAACAATATGTATGTTGCGGGACTGTGAATATGTAGCAGGGAGAACAAAAATCATGGTAGACTATGCAAAAAGTTCATAGTGCAGATGTGCTGAAGTCTGAAGCATTGCAGTTAGCTGTTGAGGATGCGTACTGCAGTAGGGTAGAAGCTGTTCCTAAGTCGAGGTAAGTCTGTGCTTTAATATTGTGGTATTGCTCGCCAGAGCGCAGGGGGGAGAACAGTTTGTGGCCGGGATGGTCAGGATCCTGGGAATTATTCGAGACTAAAGACTGAGAATAAAGACTATCCTGTCAACTAAAAATAATTAGGAGCAAAACAGACAGCACTTTTTGGTACAGGTATATGTTTATTAATAATTAATAAACTAGCTAGTTTAGAAAAAGAAAGAAATGCAAGTCAGGTCTGGTGCTTACCAGTTGTTGCAGAAGCTGACACATAGTGGCACGTGCAGGAGGCCAGCAGTGTAGTTGGGGTTCATCCAGTTAACTGCACTGGGGGAGCATTGGTAGAAACACTCCACCTTCTTCATGAATGCCTCACATCTTAAACACAATACAAACAGATGGTGCAGTTAAATGGGAGGTCTACTCAGACAAAAATATTACGAAAACTGTGGACTGTGGAGCCAAGATAATACAATATACATGTGCTTTTCCATGATGCTATGGGAGAAAAATCTGAGTTTTCTCTTCATTCAAAAAATTATGACACTTATGGCCCCTGATGTGTGCTTAGATCATCTATAAAAGGCTTTCTTTAGGCATATTGTAGGAACATTTACAAATGAGAGGAGGCCATTCAGCCCAACTAACCCCTTTGGTAGTTAGTTGTTTATTCATCCAAGAGACTTATCCAGCTTTTTTTTTTATTGGAAGCTCTTAATGACTTCAGTAACACAGCTGGGTAGCTAGTACCAGACTCCTACAACCCTTTGCATAAAGGCGTGCCCATTATCAGTTTGAAATGCATCATGCTTTGCAAATGCCCCTTCTAAACATGTTGCCTGCCTCCTGTGTCTCTGAACAGCTTAATATACTGTTGAAGTACAGGAAATAGAGACAGTGGTTAATGATTCTTTAGCTGTTAAAAAACACAAAAAATGTTTAAAGTAAATGAAAATACATTAGAGCTTTGTATACAGGAAGTAGGAATATGGGAGTAGGATAATAAATGTGTCTTTGTAGTGGGTTCCCTCACATTGGAATTGGACTCTTACCCTGTGCTGAGTTTCTGACACAGATCCCATTGGGTGTTGTCCACCTTTTTCACAGGGGAGACTAGCTGCTCAGTGAAGTTGCTGTAGCAGCAGGAAGCTATGGGAGAGAGACAAGGGCAAGAAGAGACAGCCTTTCAGAATATTTCCAAACTCTCATCCTGGGGACCCACTAACGATCCAGTTATTTATTTACAAAAAAAAAAATCACAGGTTTTAGTTAAAAGTGGGAATAATTCATCCTTCTGTGGAATGATAATTGCAAACGTCTGGGCTGTTTCCACAATCTGCTTGATGGTGCGCAGAGATGTGTGAGACAAAAGGGTGAAGGAGGCACTGCCCTGGTCTGCTTTCTGTCTGAAGTGGTTGGGAGGAGTTCCTTCATGTCTTCTCCACTTTCCAGGGAAGGTCCACCATATCTCATCCTCTCACTTCTTTTTTCATTTTCCAAGGGGGCCAAATTGGAGGGGTGGCACAAAGCTTTCCTCCCTTTTGTTTGCTTTAGGATAAAATGGCTGGAATTCTACAATTTAGGCAGCTGAACACACACCGCCGGTGGGTCGACTTTATCAAAGATATAGTACCATAATAACAAATGAAGCTGTGTTTCCATGTGATACAATCATGGTTTCGAAATAACATTAGGATTTCCCATACTCACAGTTGGAGTACACTGTGCACTCCTTCATGCTGTGCTCTTCACTGGGGGCTTTCTTGTGGTCCCGGCCTTGCAGGCACTTGTGTTCCGTACACTGTACTGTGGCCACCAGGACCAGTATCCCCACTGCTGTCAGATACACTTTCATCCTTGGCACCGTCCCTGCAACAGGAGTATGAAGGGATTTGCCCACAAACACTCTTTTCTAATCTATGTAGTATTTGGTATCAACAGTGCTGTACAATTAATATCAACATATTTAGCATCAAGAGTGCTGTACAATTATACTACAGAGTGCAGTACAGAAAAGCAGCGATGAGACCACCCAATTACCTGAATCAAACACAGCGACATTTCATTGTGAGATAAAGAAGCCTGGACAGCTGAGTGGCCATAGGTGCAAGGAGGTTATCTGGAGGTTATCTGTCTACACCTGAAGAAGGCTCCACGGCCAAAACGTTGTGTTCTCTTTCTTCTTTTTTTCAGCATGGAATAGACCTATTACTTGTTCCTTTGCAGCCTACACATGCTGACGCAGCTACCCACCTGAATTGTTGTAAGAGCCCTTCTATTCATCCATTTTCTATACAGTGCAGGGTAGTGCGGGGCACAGGAGCATAAGCTGGCAAGCAATGGGCACAAGGTAGGGCACGCTTTGGACAGGACGCCAGTCCATTACATGGCACACACAGATGTAAACACACCAACACTCACACCAGGGCCACTTTTACTGAAGCCAACTAACCAAATAGGATGTCTTTAGACTGTGAAACTAGAACACCCAGGAGAAACCCAAGTAAACATGGAGAGGACGTACAAACTCCACACAGATAACACCGCAGGAACTGAACCCAGAGCCCCAGTGCTAAGAGACAGCAATGCTTTAAGATTTGAGATTTGGGATACACGTCTCTCTTTGTCCTTACAAATGAACACAAGCTCTTTGATGCTGAGATTATTTTGTATGGAACTACAATACAAATTAAGTTAAAAGTGCGCCTACCTGGGCTCCCCTGGCTTCTCCAAGTGACAAAGTGTATGAATGACACTGCAGTTTGCTGCACAGTGCTTTATATAGCGCAGTTTTGCGTAATGCTGTGCTGGGTTATGGGGTTTGTTTGTTAGTAGACAGATAACCTCCTTGCACTTTTGGCCACTCAGCTGTCCAGGCTTCTTAATCTCACAATGAAATGTCGCTGTGTTTGATTCAGGTAATTGGGTGGTCTCATCGCTGCTTTTCTGTACTGCACTCTGTAGTATAATTTATTGGATTTGTTTAAACAGAAAATCTGAAGGAGATTTAACTTAACTGATTTGTTTTGTTTTGGATTTGTTTAAACATAGAAAATCTGAAGGAGATTTAACTTAACTGAAATGAAATATTGCAAGACCTTGTATAACATTTGAGTGTTCCTTGTTAAACACAAGCATAATTGTGTTTTATGGCATCTGTCATTTTTTTTCTATAAAATGTGTCTCCAATATTTATTTGACAATTTAGTTATCAAGAATACAATGTGGGCTAAAGTTGGAGGCATAGACTTCTGATTAGGACTATGGCTGCTCCCTCTCAGTCTTTGTGTTGTTTTTTAGTAAGCTGTGTTCAAGGTCAAGCACTATACACAGTTTAACTTAATTTTCTCTCTATTCAGACTAATTGAAGATGTGTGTATAGTAGTGTAGACGTGCACGCAGTGGCTCAGCGGAGCCGACTGGAGACTGAGTGCCTGGCTCTGCTATCATCTCCAGTCTGGAATGTCACAGTGAAGGTTGCAGTGTTCTGTTCTCACTAAACCAATAGGAATGACCCTGGCTACTGGAAAGCAGCCAGTGCCCATGGCCCGGGCCAGCACGTGCTATCACAAAAAAAAACAACGAAACGTTCCAAAGTCCAGCTTTCTACTCTGTGTCCCTCTTACAGCTTTCTGTCTGTCCCATTCAGCTCCAAATATGTTTGCTACCACACCCCACTCCACAATGAGATCCTCTCTCTTATCTTGCCTTAACACATTTTCTTGCACCCCCCTCAACTACCTGTAGCAGCCCTAAACATTTGCAGATAGTCTTTGGACCTTCTTTTTTATTTAACCCACCTCCACACACACCCCCAACTTTGGGGGACTTTTTTTAGTTTTAGTATTATTTTTTTCACTCTCTCATTTTTGTTCTTATTAGACAATAACAAAAAATATCTTACATTCACAAAAAAAAATCAGAAACTTCCTACTAATATTCTTAACATCCAGTGCCATTCAAGTATATCTCTAATGGGCCCCAAACATCGCTATACTCATTAAGTTTAAGTATCCTGTAAATTATATTAAATCTTTTCAAATTTAACTTGTGATACAGGCTCTTTAATCCATTCTTTGTGTGACAGTCCTGTACTGTCCACCTGTTTTCGCAATCTTATTTTTTTAGCAATAATACAGAGGCTCAAAAAAGTATTTTTATATTGAATTGCCACTTTAACCTTTGATAAATCACCAAGGATATATGTAACGGGAGTTAGTGGAATTGAGATATTTAGGTACCTGAGAGATTTCCCCACTGTGGAGGTCCAGAATGACTGTATGTGCTGACAATACCATAATAAGTGCAATAATGATCCTTTATGTGTGTTACATTTTGAAAACATTCCTGTGTTATGCCACTTCATCTTTTTCAATTTTTCTGGGGTATAATAGAATCTGTTTAAAATTTGGTACTGACCTTGTTTTGACTTTCTTAATAAACCTTAAAAAATTCCGATCATCTCTCTGTCTCTGTCCATCCTTCACAAAGGCATGCACTAAAAGTCCTGTGTAACACAGGCTTTTCTTTTAGTATCAGATACTTAGAATCCCCTTTCCCGCTAGTCCCAGTTTTTCTCCACTCTCTTGTGATGAAACATATACAACAGCCCTTGTCTCTCTCACACTTCAGTATGTTAAGAGATAAGTAGTGCGCAGTGTTTGTATGAAAGGCAAAGGCTAAGAAGATCTTGGGGTAACTATAGAGGCCTCCATTAAAACATCTGTATTCACATTTCCATTGCAGCCCGTAATGAGAGAATGACTTTCTCATTATATTATTCATAAACTACGTACTAGTATTAAGGAAAGGTTAGAAATGAGAGGTAATTTCGCCTGCCATGCATATGTGGTTGATAGTACTTTATCCCCAAAGTTCAGGCAAAAAGTATTTTCGCTTTTTCAATTATCTTCAAATGTTCTTATTTTCCTTAAACCAACAGATGGAATATTTTAAAGAAGCTGATTGTATAGAAGACAACTATCATAGAGTAAACAGCATTAGAAAATAGTGTCCAACTATGCTGAGTAACAAATATATCCTTAAGCCACACGGTGGCAGCGAGGTGCAGAACATAAAATTTACTCCGATTTTCTTTTTTTGGCCACACTGCCATATTGTCGACGTAACACGCCGTACAGAAATATGGTCACCGGCGCCTCACAAAAACGCTCACACTTCAATGGGTGGCGGTATTCCGTACACCAATATGGTGCCCACCTACGGCGAATTTTCAGGAAACGGGGAGAGGGTTTCCTTTCGTCTGTCGTAGTGGATGTTGTTGGGTGTTTCTGCAGTTCTTCAAAATTCAATTCCAGCTGCCTCGCTCAGCGGTCAGTAGCACCACTCGAGTAAATGACAAAGGACACACGCATGATATTTACACGTGGATAACTCCGGAGGTCGAGGAAAGCAGAACTGCTGATATGTGCTTTCGTACAGTTGCACACCTGCCTAAAGACGTGTAACGAAATGTGACTGGTTAATATTGTGAAGACCTGCAGTCGCGCGGGGAAAAAGACAGGATATATAAAATGAACAGCGCTTCTCTCTGGTTAAAGAAGCGAACCAAGGAAAGAGGAATTTCTGGAGCAAATCCCGGACTTGCTTTCCCTGGCGGCGGCTGGGCAGCACAAAGATCTGCAGATGTCATAAACTGAGAAGAAACGACGAATGAAATTAACCGGCTATCCGAAACGGTCTGGCACCCCAAAACATTAATGGGCTGTGTTGCGACATAACCCAATGTCTCCCTTTAAAGAATAAAGGTTGTTTTAGTTATGAATTTGAGAACGGAGAGCTACAGTTGGATTTGGATTAATTTTTTGGAAAAATCTTCAACTACTATTGCACTTCCAACTAGCTAGTGTAAAGGATGGTTAAACTTAGTTTAAAATTTAACTGGCGAAAGAAGAAAAATCGTTACTAATTGTCAAACGCTATATTTTTCAACTTTTCTCATAAATTCGAATCGTCAACAGAGTGATTTTTGGCAAAATCTGGACGAAGACTAACATCTAAAAGATGGAGCCCGGCTATTTTATGGTTTCATTTGGTCAGATAATCTGAATTTCTAGGGTAATGGACACTTCATTCTCTTCTTCCATGAAGTATTTATTTTTCGTTCGTTGTTAAGTTTTTCTGTCGATCGAGAAATGAAGAAGGCAGAAAATAAAAACAAAAGAAAATTGTGCAATTCGGAGAAGGATCAGCCGATGAGCGGGACAGACGGGAAGGATGCGGTGAGTCGATTATCTTTAATCGCAAATTTAGGCCATCTCAAAACACATTGTAGGTGATGATGAGAAGCCCATATGTGTGCCTGTTTACAAACCAAATGTAATAAATAAAAATTAACTCTTGAATGTGGATTATTTACTGAGAGTTAGTAATTACGTGAACCGTGGCAGAGCCCTACCATGTGCAGCTAAGCATTGTCACTGAACTCGTCATGAATTTAAAGGTAAAATAAGCCAGGTGCTTGGCAGAGGCTACTTTTGTATCAGTTAGTAACTTTTTACCTGGTTTTAAATTGGAATATCGTTCAGTAACACGTGACTTCCTTTCGATAAACGATTTTTATTTGTTTTTTTGTAATCAATGAGAAACGGTTGTGTTTATGTGTAGCGAAGAGACACGGAACTCATAGTATTTTATTTTAAAATAAAAACAAAGGACGACTACTATGTTGGATGGTGTTACACGTGCTTACACTTTTGAAGACATAGTTATATACCCGCTTTCTAAGTAGAGGCAAAGAAAGTGACGTTCATACCCACAACCGCGGTCTGTCGCTCCCCCTTACCAGTGAGCAGTGATGCCACTATGAAGGTACTGTAGGATGAGTTGTAGGTACTTCAATAGTTTTTTTTTTTAACTCGGTGGCTTCTGGTTTTGCTTCTGGTGTCTATTAAGACTGAATCATCCTCACGGGAAATTACATTCATCTTCTGGTCGTCTCGGTTTCCAGACAAAAAAGTTGTCGTTTAAATACCATATGTCTTTTAAACGTTTAACCTCAACTGAAATAGTCTCAGGGTTGTAAATACAAACAGCGTCTCATATCAATATTAAATAAGGTTTATCCTTAAATGAATGGTAGCAACTTTTGGTGTGCTGTGTGAATGCTTTTTCAAATCACTCTAGAACCGTTGTTCTTTCGCTGCTTCATCAAGTCTAGTGTCTCTTCGGTTTGGAGGGTTTTATCTCGTTAACCGCTGGGAAGACTGACAGGGAAGGACGTTTTTTTTTACATAGTTTCTTTTCAAACCTTAGAAATGTTGTACTTATTAAATGCGCCGAAAAACGGCTCTTGTTGCGTAGCAGTTTGGTCTTTTGGTTCAGGTCCGGCTGGTGTATAGCTTGCCACCTCGTTCGGAACACATACTGTACAGTACTCAGTGAGACAAGTGGAGTTAACGTAATTATACAGTATATAGTTTTTCTGCTTCATCAATGTAATTAGTCCAATACAATCCGCCATCTGTAAAAATGTAAGTGGGTCACTCTGCTGTGGCCAGGTAGTGAAAACATTTACTATGCTCATGAAAAGCTTATCTAGTTTTAATATTTGATTCCAAAAACAAATCTGGGTCCTTTAACTTCATGTTCTGGGGGGCAGTGAGAACAAATTAACAGAAATGAGCACTACAACAGTCTACTCTTTAAAGCTCATTTTGAATATTGAAATATAAAGCCTTTAACTCAACTTCCATTATAATTGAATAATAAATTGTATGATGTGGAATTATCAGTAACTGCCCTTACCTAGTCTTCATTTTGCAGATATTTTCTGTAAGCACTGTCTAAAGATTC